CATCTCTTCCATTTGAGCCCTGCAGTTCATGGGAGGTCGCCTTAGCAGTAAAGACAGAGGCAAAGAAGGCATTTAGTAACTCTGCCTTCTCGGCATCCTCCGTCACCAAGGCCCCTTCCCCCTTCATCAGTGTGCKAACATTTTCTCTTGTCTTCTTCTTGCTATTGACATACTTATAGAAACCCTTYCTGGTGTCCCTGACATGCCTTTCCAGCTCTAATTCCACCCGGGCTTTGGCCTTCCTCATTTCGCATCTGCATTCTCTGACGATGTGCCTGTATTCCTCCCACATGGTCTGTCCCTTCTTCCACAAGCTGTACACTCTTTTTTTCTCATTCACTTTGCCCAGCAATTCCTTACCCATCCATACAGGTCTCCTACCCCGCTTACTTGACTTCTTTTTTGTGGGAGTGCACCAATCCTGAGCTTGGAGGAAGCGGTGCTTGAATATCAGCCAGCTCTCCTGGACCCCCTTTCCTTCTAGGACCCTGACCCAGGCGACTGCTCCAAGGAGCTCCCTGAAGAGGTCAAAGTTGGCTCTCTTGATCGAAGTTGGCCTTCTTTTCTCTCTGCTTGCCATCATACTCATGTTCCAGGCAGAACATGAATAGATATCCCTGCAGGAGAGCATCCTAGGAATTTAAGAAATGTTGTCATCTACTATCCCTCTCTGAAAAGGCATTTTCTGAGCACCTTACAAAACATGCACAGCCCAAGGTCTCTATTAAAAGATTAAAATCCTAATGAGTGCTCCACAGCCACTGAGATGCCCTACCCTAGAATACCACAGGATTGATGGAAACCTATTTCAGCATTTTGATGTCAAAAATTTTAGGGATAGCCAAGGGAAGTTTTTGTCCATTGCTTCYCAGAAGGGGAAATTCATTAAATCAAGGAGACGGGGATCGAAGGTCAAGGAAGCTTTCTTTGAGATAAATGTACTGAAGCTTCAGAAAGCTTGAAATCACCAGACCACCACTTAAGTACAAACAAAAATATAAATAAGCAACAAAAGAAGTGTGAATTTCTTGCWCTTAAGTGTTTCGGGATCCGAGTTGTCAGCAGAGCGATTGGACTATATGATCTCTAGAGGTTCCTTCCAACCTTAACCATTCTGTGATTCGYAGCAGACACATGCTCAAGTGCTTTTGAGGCAGTCCCTGCATAATTCCAATATTAGCAAAGGAGATGTTCTGAGCAGAACTCATCTCTCTTTCACCAGGCTCATCAGGCATCATAACAGATTTGATAAAAGAAATGAAGGCTCAGATGTCCAATATGTCTGGCAACAAAATATATCCTTTCCTCACTGCAATCATAAATTATACAATGAACCAAATTATGGTTAGAAAGTTGAGGTGTGACAACAGATAGCATCCTTTCCCTATTTTCTTTTCCTTATTTCCAATCATCTTATTATGATGCAGCACAGAACACCTAAACATATTAATCATCCGTAGAGATCTGCAGAGCATCCACCTCTTGAATATGATGCGTGGCMTCAGGAGTCTCATGATAATCAGGCACTGTGGCAGTGACTCAATAAGATGGACTATATCTGAGGAAAAAAAACTTTGAGATTGCCCACAGCCTCTCCCATAGTTCAGCTAGACTGGCATCCACAGGGCTAGCAGTGCACAAGCTTCTGCAGAAGGGGCAAACCAAAAGTAACTTGGGGCACTAACTGCTGTGCCAATGGTACAGTTYGCTCCTGCCCAACATAGACTGGCTGTGGCTTATTCCCGCAAGCTCCCTTTTCTAAAGCTTTTTACCCTTGTGTAGGTATTTGTGCTTTTCTTCCTATCCCAGCTTTACATRTTTAAATAATATACATGGCGGGGTGTGTGTGTATRTGTATTTTTATTTATATATTTACTTATTTATTCTGTTCACATTTCTTTTTTGCTATGCTGCATCCATTGCAGCCTACATAGCTAATCCTTCCATTGTCCCTTCATACACACACATTTCCTTTCTTTGKCATAGAATAATCTCTCATTCTCTCACAGCTATTTTATACTTAGGACAGTAAATTCCATTCAGAGCTGAGCTCTTAGCTATACATTCTTTGCCTGTAARTGTATTTTAGACTACTAACATTACYTGTACTTAGGCTAATACTCCCCATGGTTGCTTGGATTCAGAAATATCCTACTCCTTTAAATTTTAAAATCATACACTGAAGTTATCTGTGACARTAAAGGCTACAACTGAAATTTCTTTAAAAATAAAGTAATAAAAAAAGTGTTGTCTTTTCAACCACTTAGAAAACGGAAATACCTGGATTCCTCCTCCAAGAGGGAGAGGACACTGAGGGGAAGAGATATTTACAACATTCCAGGGCTGAACCATTATCATTGGCCTGACACATTCCACAGACTGAAATGTTTATTCCAAGGTGGCCCCCTGCTGAGGTCAATTTAAATTCAGTCAACAKAGATGTGCGTAATACTCTTGCACAATTTGTGACAACCATTTGGCTTTTTTCTTCTCAAGCTCCAATTGCAGGAAAAAAAATTAAGCACGATGACCACCTTTGAMACAGTAGCATACCTGGCTTTGGATTATTCCCAGTCTAATCCACTGCCTCCTGATTAGTTGCATAGAAATATCTCAGGAAAATAACTGCATCCTCAGTACAGAGCTAGAAGCTGGGTGAAATCCTGTAGGGATTAGAGGGTGCAACTCCCAAAAATCTTKATTTATGGAAACTGTGAGAGTTTGCCAAGTACATCTTCACCATCAGGTAAGGCACATACACATGAGCTCAGAAATTCAAACCATCCAGATGGGACRATGCAGCTGGATACATCCTGAGGCAAGCCTGGGATGCATGTGCAGATGCTCACATGTGTAGAGGAAGCCATTTCATACTTAACCAAAGGGAAATCGAATCTAAACAAACAAACAACAACAAAAACAACAAAATCAAAAGTGACCATGGCAGAAAAACCTTAGGAACAGATCTTGAGTAAGAGGATTGAAGAGGGTTTCGTATTTCATTCCCTCACAGCACAGACACTTAGGAGGTTGACACTCTGCAGAAAACACGAATGCATGAACAATGTCAAAAGTCTGACCCCACAATTTCTCCTCCAAACTGCAGGGCCACTACATTCGGGTAACCATTTGAGATAGGAAATAGGAGGTTAACAGCTACTGGCTTAAGATCACCCATCTTTGTTAGGAGGTGAGCAGAAAAATAAAGCATGAAATTCAAAAATTCTTCTCCCTCCTGTCTAYCGAGAAACGCGCTTCCCATGGCTGTGATGGGAATATGCCTTGAAAGCAATAAACACGAAGGGACTGGGAGACGGTAAAAAAGAAAAAAGGAGGGCCCATCATGACGGAGCAGGAAGGAGGAGGCTCGGATCGCGGGGCCAGCTCCCCCCGCCCCGGTTTCTGCCGCACCCGGTGGCGGCTCCGGGCCGCTCTGCGGMGGACACGAGCCCCGGGGCGGCCGGCGAGCAGAGTTCATGCGGGCGCAGGTCGGGGCGAGCAGCAGCTCAGCGGGAAGCGCCYGCGCCGCTCGGAGGGATTCCCAGCGGGAGGAGCCGGAGGGCCGCGAGGAAGTCCAGGGAAGATAAACACGTACCGGGAAGTTTACGAACCGCTTTCGCTGGGCGGGGAACCGTGCGCACGAGGCGCTAGAGGCCGTCCCTATAACCCGCAGTCCCTGGTACGCGCGAGCAGCGCAGGGAGCCCGGCCAATCCTTGCGCAGCGCGCGCTTTTCAAAGCGGAAAGCGGAAAGCGGGAGAGCGGCCGAGCAGCCGCGCTCATCACCCGACGCGCGGCCCGGCTCGCGCACAGTTCTCGYAAGCGAGGCGAAACTCTGTGGGGATTAGGCGGAGCCTGCGAGTCCTCTGTGAAGAGCGGAGCTGCGCGGAACCTGCGGAGAACAAAGGGCAAACACTGTCCGCGCTCATCTAAGACTCAAGAAACAGAAATGATGCTKAAGAAATCGTTAGACGTACATAACAGCTAGATACGCTTAAAAAAAAAAAAAAAGTGATTCAGCTCTTTTTAAGAAAATTTGGGTGGCTCTTAAAAGAGCCGTTGGGTTAGTCTGCGAAGCAGACAAGACGTCTCCAGTATGATTTACTTCTTCTTGGGCGCCGCCTTCTTCGCCTTGGCCGCTTTGGGCTTGGTCGCCTTAGGCTTGGCAGCCTTGGGCTTCACCGCTTTCGCCTTGGCCGGGCTCTTCGCTGCCTTCTTGGGCTTCRCAGCTTTGACCGCCTTCTTGGGGCTCTTGGCCGCCTTCTTGGCCGCSGCGGCCGCCGGCTTCTTCRCTTTCTTGGGGCTCTTCTTCACCGCCGCCGCCTTCTTGGGCTTCTTGGCGGCGCTCGCGGGCTTCTTGGCCGCCGCCTTCTTGGGCTTGGCCGCCGGCTTTTTCTTGGTTGCCTTCTCTTTCGTCTCACCGGGTTTTTTGTTAAGCTTGAAGGAGCCGGAGGCGCCGGTGCCCTTGGTCTGCACCAGGGTGCCCTTGTTCACGAGGCTCTTGAGCCCCAGCTTGATGCGGCTGTTGCTCTTCTCCACATCGTAGCCGCCGGCCGCCAGCGCCTTCTTGAGGGCRGCCAGCGAGAGCCCCTTGCGCTCCTTGGAGGCGGACACRGCCTTGGTGATGAGCTCRGTGACGCTGGGGCCCGAGGGCTTGCGGGCTTTGGAGCCGCCCGCCGCCTTCTTGGGCTTCTTGGCGGCCGCCTTGGCGGGGGCCGGGGCGGCGGCCACGTCGGGCGCGGCGACAGGAGCGGTCTCGGACATGATGCCGGGCGCCTCCTGCGGAGCGAGCGCGGACAATAGCGGCCCCGCCGCCGCCGCCCCCATTTATAGCGGCCGCGCGCGCGCTGATTGGCTGCCGCGCGAGCCCGCCCCGCAGCGGCCGCCGCGCCGCCGCTCCGGCTGTGTTTCTTGGGGGTCCAAAAAGTGCCTTTTCCGCATGAAAATGAGCACCGATTCACCCCCTGTCTTGCAGGAGGGGAGGGGGAAGTTCGTCCTGTCAGGGAGAGGAGTTTTCCCCTAGAAAATGACGGGAGAGGGGAAAAGAGAGCCAAGAAACGCCGCAGTGTGGAGCATCAGCGACYCGGGGAGAGAGAAACTTTCCTTTTTTCTTCTAAATTAATATTATGTCATTCGAGATATCAGGACAGCCAGMACGAAAATCTCAAGTGCAGAGGTTTTTGTGTTGATAAGGACCGAAAACGGAATATTTTGAACACCGAGTCTGTGGTTAAATCAGTATTAAAGTCGAGGAAGTAACACAGCCTCGCCCCGTGGTCCCAGACGCGAATTCAGAGCTGTCTCCTCCGGCCGCGCCACTTGCCTCCGAAATCTCCTAAATTCCGAAATCACCCACCTAATCACCAGACRGTTTCTCTTGAAAGACCGTGAACTATTAGATAATGCCACCCGGAGAGACTTTTRTGCTTTACTTATGCGTGTTAAAGCAGATATAAACTCTCACTTGTTAGTTATTCCAGTGGAAGAAACAACAAAGATGCCCCTCTCTGACAGCTGATGTTCATGTTACTCTGTTTTCACCAKATCATATTTCAGAGAGAGCGGGAGGGGTCCCTTCTGCTTGTCATATTCCGGAGACAGAGTAGTTGATGTTATTAAATAACATCCTTTAGTTCTTAAATTTGTTTTAGACAGAAAAAAAAGGAAGTAAATAAAAAGCAGACAACTCTTCATCTCATATTCATATGCACTTCCACATGACAATTGTTAAAATACATTGTGAGCTAAAAGGAAAACTTGAACCGGGCTAAGAGTTAAACCTTGAAAGGCCACTTCTYTGGGGGTATGTTTTTTCATCAGGATACATTGTCATTCAATACCGATTTCTCCTTTCAAGTGAATGAAAGCTATTGTTGGAAGTGTATAGCACTGATAATAGCACCCTACCATTTACCTCTTTGATCTTTTCAGGAGTAAGATAAGAGTTTGAATCACCTCATGCAAGTCTTTTCCCCGACAGTGGTAATTCGATATTCCAAAAAGAGGTGAGTGAGTCTTAACTTTCAAATCTCCCTTTTCTTTTTTCATTATGTACTGTTTTCTTGCCGCTACGAAAGTTATCAGCTTTCTTRCAATGAAATGGTGTTTCACGCTGGCGTTTAGGCTGTCTCATAAAAACAGAGAAGCAAACTCCATTCAGTAGTAAAAGAAAATATAAAAGGATAAATGAAACAACTGCAGAACATTGTACTTCAGCGGCCTGTGACTGGGAAAACACATAAAAAGGCTGTTTTGAATCCCTAATTGACAWGAGATAAATAATATATGCTTTCCTAATTACATGTATTTTGTTGAAAAAAAAAGTGGTTATCCCCAAGAAATTGGTGATTAATTTATCCCAACTTGGMAAGTGTGGGAGACAATATTTGACTGTGAGATGTCCTATGCAGTTCAGCCTGCAAAAGAAAAAACGTTTGTGTGTATGCAGGSTGAGGGAAACGGATCTGAATGTAATAACAAGCAAGAAAATGAAAATGTGCATCATTGTAGAACTGTATTTCATATATTGAGTAAACACAAAAACAAGAAACTATTTTTAATGACCATTTCTTTATTCGCTGGGCATTTCTGTTTATAGTGTAGTAAAATTAAAGTCCTRAGCGGTCTGGTTGAAAGCTTTATCATAAGAATTGCTGTCAATCTGAGGGAAAGATTTATTCTAAAATAGTAATAGGGACTCCCATAGCTTCGAAGAATAGAAATTTTAATTGGTCAGMGAAGCAGCACCGTTATAGCCTACACACCTCTCCAGTCCATTAGTATCTGTCTRCATGTAATTTATATGCTCCTTTTCAATCTATATCTACATAATGATAAATTTTACGAGTTATTTTTAGTGAAATGATATTTAGACTCTTTCTGTATTCATATGACAATAAAGATGAATGGGAATCYCTTAAGCACTAATATGGAGAATGGCATTTCATCCCTTTACAACTCCAAATGAACGCTGGAAATTTGAGATTTTGTGGATATATCTTGAAAAGAAGCAATGAGTCTATCGACAGGARTCCTACATTAATTATGCGCAGGTTCAGAATTGTTCTCTACTTGATAAAACAGAATTAAGAGAAGATAATAAATCTGACCACATTCCAAACCATGGGTACTTCCATATATATACACCATACAGGGCTAAAATAGATTCAAACGATGAGATTAAGGGAAGTTCMGTTTCTGTATAAAAACTCCACTTTAAATTGAGGCCAGTTCAACTTTATCAAGATTTCCTATCCAAACTGACGTTCTTGTCCAGAAAAGACAAGCTGATAAATCTGGTAAATCTATATTTGATAACGCCCACTACAAAAGATTAATATTACACCAACTGAAAAGAAACAAGAAATCCGTATTTTCAAAATAAGAGTAGAATATTAACAGAAAAAAAAAAAAAAAAAAAAAAAAAAAA